CCSSTTTGCTCACTGCTTGCGGAGGAAAGGAGGAGAAAAAGGAAAAAAGTGCTWGGAAAATGCTGTCGCCAAAGCTCCTAAAAGTCTCTAAAAACACYGGGAAAAGTYGCTAGATTTGTTTCTAGTTGCTTTTTGGGAAAAAAAAGCCACTAGATCTGATCTAGTAACGTCACCAAGTTGGCAACACTGCCGGCGGTCCTAATGGTCGCAGGTGTTCCTTTAACAAGCAGACTTACCTGGGGTCGATGACATCGGTGACGCCCAGCATACTTCCTCCTCTGGGGTCGTTGGGACCGTCTCCCAGAAGCCCTCTGTGGGGGATCCCGCCTGGACCTGAGAGGACAGCATCACATCATAAACAAAAGAAAACAGAAAACACCACAGATCTGTGATGAGCACTAAAGTCAGAATTTGCGTCGCGTTTGGACAAAGAGCCGCTCCTGAACAGCGCGGCGAGCGGATTGGAGGACTGAGGAGGGGGCAGGACGGCGATACCTGGAGGCCGATCGATGGCGGTYGGACCGGCCGGTCCTGTAGGAGAATGCTGCAGGTTTCCTGAGCCAGCATTAGGAGGTGAAAAGAACAGGAGACACAGGTCTCAAAGGAGCAAAGCAGCATTTTGGAGCCAATGAAACCACGACGTGCACAACGAGGACACACACAGACTAAAGAGGCGTGAACATGTCGCACAAACACAAACATCAGGGACAAAAACTCAACATGTCCCAACAGATTTTATGAAGGGCCGTTAGCCGAGGCTCTGGTGACACCTAGTGACCTCTGTGAGGCACGACACTAGAAGAGATCAGGAAGTATTCAAACCCAGAATTTATTCTGAACTCACATTTAAATAGTACAGATTTGAGATTTGAATGTTGAATAAAAATTTACAGACCAGAGCCACAGCGTGACGACTCAGCAGAAATCACACGGCTATAACACAAACAAGAGCCGATGGAAGCAGAGGATTCAGTAAAAACTAATCAAACAGCTGCAGAGGAACCATTACCTGGAGGTCCCACTGGTATAGTGGAAGGTCCGGGTCCAGGTCCAGGTCCAGGTCCTGGTACTGGTCCCGGTCCTGGTACTGGCATTTGCCCGGGGACAACACCCATGGTGGGTGGCTGCATCATCTGAGGGGCTCCATTAACGTGCATCCCAGGCTGATCAGAGAAACAATAATTATTATTTACAGGAACCTGAATTTAACTTAATCCAACAAGTTAATTATTCTACCTGATGGGTTACAAATAGAAAACAACACAAAGTTTTATATTATTTTAAGTTTTTGTAATTCACTCATTTCACCAATTAGAATTGTATCAGAAAGACAAAATCATTCTTTAACAAAAAACTGTTTTATTTTAAACCAGTTACAGAACAAAAGCGACATGGGCAGAAACAAGCAGTGGGTGATAATTCAAAACCTCTTTTATCTTATGAATAAATATTGTTCTCCTCTGCTTCAGGTGTAGAATAAATGCCATCGTGCTCCAAAGCTGTTATTAAAGCTGCGTCATGTTTGAGCTCCGCCTGCAGCTCACGTTCACACGGCAGGACTGTCTGGAGTTTTCACAGCTGGAAAGACCTCCGATAGAAACCGTGCACGAGGTCGTACAGGGTGCAAAAAAACCCAGTTTGAAAAAAACAAAACAAAAAAATCAGGTTTTGGTTTTTGCCTTGTCAGGGATTCCTGAGCAGGTAAGACTGAAGAATACACACAGCAGCTGACGGGAGAAAACACACCTCCACATGTTTTCTCCACACAGAATCCTAAAATATTCCAGATTTATTCAACGTTCTGCAAAACGTCCCTCTGCCAGACACTGCTTAGTGGGATCCCTTTAAGAATCCAAATCTAAGCAATAACAGATATTTTTGTCTAATGTGTAAATTTAATGCACTGCAAAATGTATCCATCTAACCGAGCTTTACAATCTTATATCCAGCCAAAGAGTAGTTTTGATCTTGTTTTGAGACTGATACACTAAGCAAGAGCTGAATGAGTTMGATTRTTAATCCTATTAGTCTTCAGACTCGTGTTAAGTGAAATAATCTGCAGTTTTTGCAGAGTTTTGTTTGTTTGCAGAGCTTTCATTCTGCTCAGGTGTGAGAATAAAGACTGAAATTGACCTCTTAAGCCCCAAAGGGGTTTTCTTGATGTTTTTGTTCAAAATACCATGCTGAAATGTAATTGAGTGTATCAACATTTACAAAGTCTACTTAAATCATCTTGGTATCAAAATAAAGCTAACACTTTGGGGATTTTATTAGAAGTGTAAGTATTAAAACAGCTGCTGTTGTTTTAGAGATATTGAGGACGGAACATATTTTTTTTTCCTTTTTTCCCCTCCCGTCTGAATATTTTTAGCATGTGACAGTATATAATCCATTTAAAACCATAATGATTGTGGCTAAAAMCTCTTGGAAACCATAAATCCACTTGTGGACATCACCTATGCAAAGATTCATGCTGCTAAAATTAACTGGAGCAAAATTACAGAGGTTTTAGTAAAATTATTTAGCATTTTGTCATTCTGCACAGGATGAACCATGATGACACCAGTAATAAATATTAAGAAATCTGAAGTTTTTAGTTGCAAAAGTTATTTATTTTTTTCTTATCTGACTGAAAAGACTTGTTATTGAAGGTTTGTTCTTTTGAAAAAGTATCCAAACATTTATTTGTCACCATATATATTWTATAAAATAATGAGAAATTATATTTGACTTCTGTTGGATCACTCAAAACCAAGTTAAAAAATAACTTTCAACACACTTTATAATAYATTTTGGTATCTGCTCTGACTTACTTTAAAAACAAATGTCAACATTTTTTCCTTTACAGATTTGTTTTAATGTCTTTACAGATTTGCAACAATCCCATTTTGTACCGTTTGTTTACTTTCTGATTCAACTGCTTGACGTTTGAACTGTGTTTAATGGATGTAAATATAGTTTCCATGAGATTTTAGACAAGATTCTTATTAATACCAAACATATCGAGGTTCAACTTACAGATCCTAAGTTAACAGAAGTTAACAGAAATAGAAAACAGGAAATTCTGCTTTGCCCTCGGTACCAGGGGCTCCAGAGGTTGAAGGTCCAACGTTCCATGAAGGAATAAGGAATCGGTCTGTAAGGCCAGAGCGAGTCCCACTTGTGTACTCACCACAGGCTGAGGCTGCGACACGGGGACGCTGGGCTGAGCGGGAGGTGCGGGGTTGACCGGAGGTGGTGCTGCTCCACCCTGTCCACTGGGAACCAATGGCTGCACTGCCGTTTGACGGTGGAGCATTTTCTGCATCAAAGGGGAAAAAAAAATCCTGATTTCTCTTCTGAAGCTCATTATTCTCTTTGTTTCTAATTATAAATGTTAAAGTCGATTTTAAAAAATTTGCATTTTTGACACATCTCAGGTTCTCACCAAGGCAATCTCGGGGTCGACGATCCTCATGACCACCTGCGCCTGCAGCAGAGCGTAGGCCAGCTGAGGGTTCTGCAGCAGCATGTTCCTCGCCTCCTGGGGACTGTTCTGCACACACAACTGGGGAGAAACATTTTTATTTATTAAAATAAAGAGAAATAACAAGAAAAATGTTGCAATAAAAAAACCTGTTTTACTCCTAAACCCAACAAAGCTATCTGCACAAAACAACAGGCATCAAAAATGTGCAAAAATGTCTGTAGGATCAGGTCTGGACCGGAGCTTAAACACACTCTGACCAGCATACGGACAGGTTGTGCCGACGTGAACTTTGGTGCAACAAAACACTTTCCCTGTTGGGCGGAAAACGCCTGCAGTTTGATGCTTCTTCTAGTTTAACACAGGAAACTGCCAGCTGTGCAAAGATGAATTTCTTTAAATAYAAATATATTGTCTCCTGAGGATCAAATTTTAATTTAAGATTTAATAACTCCATTTTTGAGTAAAACCCATCTGTACATGACATTACCTTCATCTCTACCAACTTCCTTTCTGTGTCTAAGTCACAAAGACATAAAATTTTTCTAAAATCTGGTCATCATAAAGCTTCTTTCTGAAGTAAACTCTCTATAAATTTGTCACTATTAACTGCTTTTTTCAGCCTTTTTCAGACCTTCAGATACATTCAGAACATCAGCAGAAATAAAGCGTGTAAAGAACTGAGCAGGATTTTAAAGTCACCTCGTTTTTTTTAAAAACTAGCAGACTTTGTTTTTGTTTTGTGGACTTTTCTGAAGGTGGATTCAAATTTTTTTCCAGACAAGTTACTTTTTACCCCAAATCCATCAGGTTTTAGAAGATATGTATAAATAAAGTACTTTTACAAGTATTTAACTTTATAAAAGAACCAGTAATACACCTGTACATAACAGAGAACTTACAGAACTTTTTGTGCATCTTTGCCATGCAGCTTTTAGCAGTAGCTTGCACAGCTAATAACACTGTACACAACAGGTGATTATGAAGCATAACGGCTTTAATCAGGATGGCTCTGATGATGAAAAAACACTTCGAACAAACACTACTGCAGATTTAGCTGGAAGAAAAAATCCCAAAGCAGTCAGCTTTTTTTAATGTGATCAAATTGTCCAAGAATAAATCAGGAAAATTTCTAGATTGAACTCAAGTAGACAAGAGAAAATAAACGATGCAATAAACCAACGTACCTTCATCTGCTTCATGAGCTCAAACATCTGCTCAGGAGGCAGACTGGCCACAGCTCTGCTGATGGACTCTGGAGCCTCCTCTGGACTAACACTATCTCCATAAGGAGACTCAAAAATGGGGGCTCCTGTTCCCAAACCTGTGCAAGAGAAAATTAAAAAAAAAAAAGGTTTGATTCACATGACCACCCAAACTTAATTTATTTAGATTTTTTTTAAAGGCCTTACTTTTAAGCTCTTCCTTGTTYTTCTCACTAGCAGCATTATCAACTCTGAGAGCCCGACCACTGAACTCCCTCCCGTTCAGGTTGCGCATGGCGCTGAGGGCTGTCTCCTGGTCTTGGTACTCACAGAAGCCATATCCCTTCGGCTTTCCTGTCTCCCTGTCGTATACTAACCTGAAAAATAGAGAAAACTGGTCAACTACGCTTAACCAAAGTTCAGCAAAATCAAGACTTTTAATAGAATACTTAATACATTTCAATGGGCACTGAAAGAAATTTGCTTGCTTTTGTAGAAAGTCGTACAGAAATTAGTTCGTAAAAAACCACAACGGTTATTTACCCTCATCCAGGCACTTACCTAAAGCTGACAACAAGTCCGACTTCAGAAAATATGTCTTTCAGCTGCTCCTCTGTGGCTTCATACGGAATGTTTCCAACTGAAATATAATTTACATTTCAGTAAGCAGGTCAAAAAATACTACTAGTTTAAATAATAGGTTGGTGCTCTCAAGTAGGATGTCGTTAAATTGTAGCACCAGCACTAGCATCATGCTAGTGTTGGCGAATTCACCGGCTAATGAATGAAAGCTAGTTAACAAACATGCTAGCATGTTAGCTTTCATTCTTTACCCGGGTATTTCCCAAATTATCACAATTCCACTGGGGATAAACAGCATGTATGCAAGAAAGAAGCGACAATTAACTCACCAAACACGGATCTTAACGATCTATCCACCGCTGGGTCTCTGTTTGCGGCGGCAGCTGCGGCTGCAGCCACCACAGACGAAGCGGCCATGTTCGCCATTTTGGGGACAGAAATGAATGTGACACCGACCGGAAATCAAATGGTGGCAACTTCCGCTTACATGAAAAAAAAGTTAAACTAGTTAAAACAGCGCGACATCTTTTAAATTATTAACTAACTTTAGTTTAATATATAACAAAAAGCAACGAGTAAAACGAGTGTAAAAGTCGAAACAACTAAAGGGGAAAAAAACAGTCATCACGAGCTGAAAGAAAACAGGTGGCGCTGTTGCTACGATAAACCATCGCTTCTTCCCGCTACCCGCTTCCTTCAGAGACTTGGGAAGACTGTCGGTAAGTTTACGAAGCTGTAATTCACCTCTGAAAAGACAAATGAAGTCAGAAGACACCCCCTAAAGACGCACCTTCRCTTACCACAAAAGACTGGGTCGGTAAGAGCTTTAATTAAATCATTTTAAATGTTAATCAGCCTGTAAATGTGCCTAAATGTAACCCTCAACATGATGAGGCAGTTAGTTAACTGTTAACACCTGTGGAGTTTGAAAATGCTAAGAATTAGCACAATAGGTGTAATGGATGTAATAATGGTCTTTAAAACGGGATTTTCCTTGTTGAAACCTTTTTGATAAAAAAAATAGGCAGTTTTTCCTCATTTGTACATTTCTCAGGTCAAAATTTAAAATCTCAAAATTGCTTTTTCAGTCTCATCATTGTGTCTCAGAGTTGTAAAGTTACTAAGTACAAATACTTTGTTACTGTACTTAAGTAGAAATTTTGGCTATCTGTACTTTACTTGAGTAATTATTTTTCAGCCTACTTTTTACTTCTACTCCTTACATTTTTACACAATTACCTGTAATTTCTACTCACTACATTTTTATAAAGGCAAGAAGTAGAAAGTGGTTACTCCTAGTTCATTATGGCTTATTGTTGTTAGAAATATTATCCTGATAAGCTGTACCTCCTGGAYGGAGTGAATTTAATTGTGGTTGGATGAAAAGTATACATTTAAACCATTCTGATGTTTGTTCACACACATGTTTGTTTCCTGACCCTGTGGGGACCTTCCATTGACTTCCATTCATGTTTTTTAGACTTTATAACCTAACCCTGACCGTATACTCTAAAATTAACCTCACAGGTTACCTACCTGACCCTAAAACTAACCTAAACTTTGGTCCAAAACCTAACCCCACACTGGTAATTTGCATTTGGGCCAGTGGGGACGGTCCCCACGAGGCTGCTTTTTTTTCTGGGGTGGGGGGGATTGCCCCCACGTTGTAGGAAAAGCCCATCCACACACACAACAGTGCCTCCTATATTTTTTAATATTAACATTTTTTATGACATTATAGTCATTTTGGCCTGTAGAAAAACGTTTTTTGAGGGTATCACCTCCCAATAAATGTCATTCTGAAAAATCTAGCCACTCATTATTACTCAATAC